ATCTTTAATTGATCTGATGCAAAGTGCCCAAGCTATTGATAGCTTCTTCGTTTTACTTACTATTTATAACATGACCATACCGAGAGACAAGTGTAAATATAGCAATTTTTAGATCGCTATTTAAAGTTCTTAAAGTGTAGTCGCCTCTGAATCAAACTTCAGACCTTCGAGTCTAAAGTTTGAACACAGTTCAAATTTAGACCTGCAGTTGGAAGTAGCCTCTAACAGACCCTAACTTCAGACTTTCAGGTATAAAATTTAAGTTGTGGTAGTTCAAAATTCAGACCTGAAGAAAACGGCTCATTTGATTCATGATCCATTCCTTATAGCTGGAAAAAAAACTGTTGCATTAAATTATGCACGAGATGATTCATTTGATTCATGTTCCTTCTCTTATAACTAGCTACTTGAGTATTACATCTTAACTGAAGAAAAGCTGTTGCATTTTGTATGTTACTTAGAAAATTACCAACTTTCAATTGGAGAAGCACAAGGCCTTCTTGCTGGCTTTTGTGGAATATTAGCAACTGACTGCTCCTTATTTCCAATTCACTTTGAGAAATGGTCAGATTTACCTATATCATACTTTGACCATGTATTTGATCGAATTGTAAAGGTATAAGCTCTAATTCTTTCTGCTACACGTCTATTTTATTGTTGGACTTCATATTTGCATGTAGCAGATAAGCTAACCAATGTTTTATTCTTGAAGAAACGGTTTTGTTTTAAGACAGTCGAGTTAGTTGCACGGCGTTATGTTTATAATTCTATTTGGATAAAATGGAGCGCGAATAGGCTAAACTTATGGAGAGCATTCTATGATCCACTCAAAAGTAAAGCTCAGATTATGGAAAATATTCCTGCTGGGATTCCACGGGATCAATGGACTACATTTATTGATTACCGTTTTAAAGAAACAACTTTGGTATTTATTTAATTACTTCAACTTGTATGTTTGATTATATTTAGTTATTTATGTGATTGACTTTCAAGTATTTTTTTTTTGTAAGGAAATGTGCAGAAGGAATACTGAAATTCGAAAAAAACAAATATTTACCCATACAGGTGGCTCCAAGCCTAACTCCAGAAAAAGCGCTGAAATGGTGAAAGATGTCAATTCATGTCATTTTACTTTAATTATTAAACTAACTTATGTAACTATTCCAGTTAAGTTATTTTGTTGGTTATTTTATTTATAGATGGCTGAGACTGGACGAAGGCCTGGACGCGCACAACTTTATCTTGATACTCATAAGAAACAAGAAGGAACATATGTGAATGAGGTGGCAAAGGATATATGTGTAAGTTTCTTCTTTATTTTTGTGATTGTTGAAGGTTATTTCTCCTTTATGGGTATGAAATCTAATATATGTATATAGCAACATCAGCATCACAAAGAATAGAAAGTTCTTCAGCTTTCTTGTAAAGTCCTCTTCTTCTCTTTGAGAAAGTTACTTGTCTTGCTGTTGCGTTATCAATTCTTAAGAACTCTATTTATGTAGGGTTTTACTTAAGAACTCAAGTATGGCCAGAAAGTTGGTAAGTTGAACAAATATGTTTTAACCAAATTTCTGATATTGGCAGTTGGGATCTGCTCATTTGCTGTTAAGGACCACTACATGTAATATTCAAAACTGGCCTTACAAACCTGGATCTGCATTTTAAGAGCATTGTCTGAAAATTCAGCGGGTCGTTATACTTGTACAAATTTCGTAACAGGCTAATTTCATCATTGACCACTGTCATTCACCAGACACAATGATGGGCATTCGAGTTAGTTGATTGCAATCTCGTATCTGTTCCTTGGGAATGAAAGAATGCATGGAATTTTTGCATCTTCAAAGGTCTCGCAAGTGAAGTGTTATAATTCTTATAAAAAAATGTCGTTTGCTTTGTGCTTCTTTTCTTTGTTTTGTTTTCTTTTTTCTTTTTTTGGTAATGGCAGTGAGTGCCATTATGAAAGGTTTTTGCTACCTTTCTTTCTGGCCCTCCATCTGGTTTCAGGTTTTGATATAACATAGAGGATGAAAACTATCATGAATCATATCTTCGGCAACTTTTGCACAACTTCTTGTGATGTTTTCATGATCGTTAACTAGTATTGTATGGACTGGGAAGTACCATATTCATGGTTTATAGAAATTCATGTGTCCGTATTTGAAATTTTCACCAGATTTGGCTCTATCTTAGTTATAAGGGCAAAAAGCCAGCAACTGTCTGGAGTTAGATCTAATGTTATTCGATGTGAATATTCATGCCAGCTTCTTAATTTACCTGTACTGCTACCTGCACTGGTTATTCGATCAAATGCTCTAACCCTATTCTATCTATGTTACTGCACCTTCATATGCCAGCAAATTGCTCTGCAAGAACTTGATATGATATTTAGGAACTTGAAACAGAGATCTCTTTTTTGCTTGTCTTGGTGTGCATTTAGTTACTTATTAATGTTGTGAGTTGTGACAAACAATATGTAGGAAAAAATTGAGCTTGCTTTGAGCCAAAGCATGGTGGATGAGTCTGAAGTTTCGCCGAATGATGCTGTTGGTAAAGTGCTAGGAAAAGAGCACTCTAGAAGGGTAAGATGCTTAGGATTAGGAGCTGTCCCCAGCAAAGTTTTTAAACATGCAAGACCTCGTTTTTGTGGTATGAATGCTTCAAGTAGTGATGCTTCATGTTTGAACCATTGCCAAGAGAACTACAATAAATTGTTGAATGCTCACGATCAAAGCTAAGAGAACTACAATAAATTGTTGAATGCTCACAACCAAAGCCAAGAGAACTACAAAGAAATAGCGAATTCTAACATACAAATGATGAATGCTTTCAAGGCATATATGATAATGAAAGAAGGGACAACACCAGAGCAATTTGCGGGGTTCTTTGCTTCTCCTCCTACAGCGGTAAATAAACTTGTGATTTTTTTTCAACTGATATTATCTGCATCAGGAGATACTCATATAAAAAAACTAAAGATCTTCTTTCTCCGCTCTTCTTTAGTGGATCGATTGTACTTTATTCCTGTTGACACTTTCTTGTTTCTGGGATTATAGTTATATTTGTACTGCTCAAGAACTAACTCAAGTTATAATTAGCATTCAAAAGATCTTATTGTTTTATTTTGTTTGCAGCCTAGAGATGCAGCTACTGGATCCCTATCACCCATGGGCGCAAGAAGATCATCTGATGGCAGTAATCCAAGTGACATCAATTGAAGTTCTTTATAATTGAATTAGATAATTAATTATGACAATGTAATTATGTGATTGGAGCGGATGTTAGAATGGCTAGGTGAATGTTTTATGTTAAAATTTAGTTTGACGCTACTGTATGCAGCTAGAAACATTGCTGAATCTGCTTTGAGTATTTTTGTAGCCCCATCATATATATATATATATATATATATATATATTAGTAGATAATATTCAAAGTTTAATATTTGTAAAAAATGCAGTAAAAGAAATTAATATATTCAATGAATTGCGTGGGTTTTGACTGCCGGAACTTGTAAAAAATTTATAATTTAATAATCAATTTACGGGAGTTGAACTGCCGCAAAATAACTCCTGCTAATTAATTACGGCAGTCGTGGCAGCGGTCGCGGCAAAACTCCAGTAAATTGATTGCGGCGAGCCTTCTTGCAGCAGTTTTGTGAACCGCTGCAACAACAAATTGCGGGAGTTACCGACCGCTGCAATTTGTAAAAATAACTACCGCAATTTTACTGTTTTTTTTGTAGTGTAGACCTGCTGTGTAACAAGTTAGAGAAGAAAGAGAGAACAACACTGGTGAGGCATTGTATCAAAGAGAAACGAGTGATTATAGGAACTGAGCTATCGGTGTAGATCACACCATTCACTGTGTACTCGAGAAACTCATTCACTGAAAGAGAACTCCCTTGCAACCCAAGGGAACTGGACTAGGATTCATATTGAATCCGAACCAGTATAAAAATTTCGGTGTCTTTAATTCCTGCATTTAACTTCTGCATCTTAAAAGCTGTCCTTACTGTTATTAAGTTATTACATCTAGTCGGCTCATTAGAAAACTAGTCAACTGGTAGCGATTAATTTTAAAAATAAACAATTTTCCCCTCTTGTATTTTCAAAGTATACAGCCATTTGTCCATATTCAAAAGACCTTTTGCTTGAATTCACAGATTAAAATCTCGAAATTGTTCTCGTATCTATCAAACTGACAATATATTAAAAAATTTGCCAAAGAATCACAGTTCATTGTAATTAGGAAAATGAGACTTAACAATGATTTTATTACTAACAGAGTAAATAGGCATTGTTCGTGCTCAACATGCAATTTTATCAATCCTAATTTGGCTATTCGAAATAGAATTGCAAGTAGTCTCGTTAACTAGTAAGTATCATTAACTAGGTACCGTTTCATTTAGATGATGTAGTTTGACTTGGTACAAATTAAAGTTTAATTGAAAAAAAGAAGATTTTTGAAATATGTGGTCCTAAAAGCTTAAGAACAAAAGTTTTGTGTGGTCATGACATTTATATGACTATAAAATCTTCTCATTAAGGGTAAAGTGGGTAAAATAAAAAGTTTGAAGTTAATTTGTTCCAAATATTAAAATATATTATTTTCTTTAAACGGACTAATAAGAAAAGTGTGTCATCTAAATTGATACATAGCGAGTAGTATCCTATATATGACAATTAGTATTTTAATGGGTGGTATAATTAAGATGGCTATGATGCTACTACTCGCTGCAGAGAGATGCTTCTGCAAATGAATCGAAATGAAAATTTGCGTTTTGCGTCAAAACAAATTGAAGTGCTCTTTTCCGGCAGCATTTGCATGTATTCATAGACGTGGCGAAGGGTTTCTTTGGGCAGCTAGCCCACGTCTTCCTCTCGTGCAAGCGTTTCCGTTTGCCTTTTCTAGCTTTACTCTACACGTACTTGTCATGCAAACCATCAAATCTGCTTTAAATACCCACAAAATGGAGCACTTCACCATCACAAAGCACTAGCTACCAATTCACCTCTTCTAGCACTAAAAAACACACATCTATCTAACTGTTGCTATGGCGAAGATTTCATTTGCTGCAGCTCTTCTCTTGTGCTTGTTAGCCGTTGCAAGTGCCAACACCTTCACCGTCACCACCACCGTGACGGAGAATGATATCGACAATCAAGGGTCACAGAGGTGCCAAGAGCAGATCCAAAGACAGAGGCTGAACAACTGCAGGTAAAAGTATAGTATTTTTTTTTATGTGCGCAAATGTTATTTTAAAAAATTTATATCTACACATACAATCGATCAATTTTTACACCGTCTAATTAGAAAATAATATACCAATATTGAAGACAGAAGTAGAGTCTTCAAATGAACATAGTCTTGGACTCAAATTAAGTACTAATGCCACCTGCATAAATTTTGCCTACATCATTAGTTGCAGGTAGGGCCTAGGGGCACATATAGTGTACAAATCGGTTCATCCAAACATATATAGTAGCTGGCCTTGATATATGCATTAAAAAATTACTAAATAAGTAGAAATAACTGATTTCAAATCAAGTAAATCAAATGGGCTAGAATTTCAAACACGAAATTATGAGGATTAAATTTTTACAAAGTTTAAATCTCGAATATGATTGCAATGCAGGATGTACCTTTCAAGAAGCCGCCAGTATTATGGCGATGAGCTGAGCATGGTGACAGATGATGAGGAGAGCAACCAAGGTCAGCAGCATCTCCAACAATGTTGCCAAGAATTGAGGAACATGGGCACTCAATGCCGCTGCGAGGCACTTAGGAGAATGGTGACGCAGCAGCTTGGCGGCCGTGGCCAAGAGGCAGAGCGCATCTCAGAGAGAGCTCGTTATCTCCCCCGTATGTGCAACATCCAGCCTACCCAGTGCCGCTTCTAAGCTGAACATATCAAAATGGCGTTTGTCAATAAAAACACACCATCGTGTGTGAGCTAGCTTAGTTAGAGACTGTTCTCTGTCTAGCTAGTGTTTTATGTTTTGATCGAATCTTATGGAGGATAAGGCGGCCATGAATGTAAGAGACTAGTTCGTTTTACTAATATGAATAAATGTCTTGTTTCCACCTTAGTCTTACTTCATCCGATTTAAATCGGAGTTTAACTCTACCGGCGTATATTAGTTTTTATAGATCGGGTAAAAATTAATTGCAATAATAAGTCACCCTCTTTAAGATAAAAATAAAAAGTGGCCCTACATTGTAACTTCTAATTTGTTTAACACTAATATCTCATTAGTTCCTTTAAAAAGGATTAACTAACTTTAAGCATTTTATTTAGCCTTAATAAAAAACATAAAACAAGGGCGGCTCAATATAAGTGGGGGGCCTAAAGTCAAGCTATGAGGAGAGGCCTTAAATATTTTCCATTTAAGTTTTATTTGCAAATTTAATTTTCTTTTCTAGATTTTGAAATGATCAATGATTTCTTCTGATAAATATTATAAAAATTTATAAAAGGTAATCCATTTATTTTTCTTTGATTAATTTCACTTTTGAAAAGAACACTAGATCTCTTGCTTTATTAAGTGCGACTTTTTGAGATTATGATTATTGTACAATTTTCAATACTTTTTTGTGTTTCTAATAACATGAATTTTCTAAAGAACAAGTTTTAAAGGAAAATCTAACATATATTGGGACGGAAGGAATATGCAATTCGAATTTCCTTTAAGATTGTATAGATGACTGTGGTCTATGCAAGAACAAAAGCTGACAAGAAGAAACAACTATGTAAGAAACTAAGGTCCTTGAATAACATATTAAGTGGCCCCTGGACAATACTAGGCGACTTCAACTCTATTTCATAGCTGAAGAAAAAAAGGGTGGTAAACCTCATATTCTTAGTAATAGCATAAATTGCATTACCTATATAGATGAATGTGGTATGTCAGATCTAGTGTATTCGGGGAATCCTACGCCTGGTGCACTGGAAGAAGGAAGAGGAGAAGGATCAATAAAAGGCTTGACGGATTAATAGAGTGGATCATCATGCTAAGCCAGGGCCAGACCATAGCCTTAATTATCACCTTCAAGTTTGAAAGTCAAATCAAAACTCTAAAGTAATCAAATATTTCAAATTTCTTAATTTCTAGACCAAACTAGCGGATTACTCTACCATTTTACAAGAGATTTGGAAGAACGATATTTATGGGAACCCTCCGAGGATCTTATATCAAAAACTCAGGTAGTAGCTAAGACACTAAGCAAATGGTCTAAAGATTCCATTGGTGATGTTTTCCCACTGTTAAACAAATGGAAAATGGTGTGAAAGACTTATAGATCATCTATGAGTCCAACAACACTGACACCAACAAACAACCTGTGTTCAGAGCTCAAGCATAATACACTAATTAAGTGGCTGAAGATGCAAGAAGCTATTCTTAAAAAAGCAAGGACTAAGTGGGCAAAAGAAGGTGACACCAACTCTAAATATTGCTACAGCCTAGTCAAAGAGGAGGAGAAGATCTCATATCAAAGAATTAAAAACAATCAAGTGATACAGATTGAGAGCAATACCGACATTTCTAGTGTTGTTGTAGTGCATTTCAACAGTATCTTTACCCATTCACAATGATCGATCGATTCTTGATGTAACGACTCAACCGGTCTGATCGAATATATGAGTCCACCAAATTATATAGAGACCAGGTCCTATATAGGTTTCCACGAATAAGGCTAATTAATGTAACAGTAAGTAAATGGAACAGGGAACTTTTACGTGGAAAAATCCATGCTCAAGGGGATAAAAAACCACGACCTACACTGGTAGAATTTCAACTTCACTATGAGCAATCTTTAGATTACAACCTATGCAATCTAGGAGTTAAACTCTTAATCCCTCACTAACTTGTAATACACCTATTACAAGCCACTTTGCAATACACCTATTACAAAGACTTCAACTCATGACTAACTCTAGTCACGACACAAACACAAAAGGTTTATGGTTTAAAAGGGGTTCCTAAATAAAGCTTCTAGATAAGCAAAGTATGAATTACAATGAAGAACAATTACAAAGTTACAACTCAACTAAGGACATACAAGGGACTTGCTGTAGGAATTGGTCCGTAGTAGTGTTGTACTTTGTTCTTGATGCGCTTCAGAATTGAATGCTTGATTGTAAGATGCTTAGAGTGCTTAAATGAATTCTCATGTGTTCAAGTGATGTTTTGTTAATACAACTTGGATGACATCACTTGAATGATGTAGTCACTTGGTTGGTACAAGGTCAATGAGAAGTGACTGCTGCACTATACTGCATTGTTTGCGTGTACAATGCAGGCAGTCACTTTCCAGCTGTAGAGAGTTGACTTCGTACTGCTATCAGGGGAACCCAAGGGGATCAGGTCCCTGTGTTGATTCTTTATCTTCCAAAGTCATAGAAACTTACATTAGCTTGAGTCTGTCGATTGAGTTGTGTACCAAGTGTATCAGGTTCCTTATATGGTTCTTTGACAGTAAGTTTGTTAGATCATCAAAATATGAAGCTAAGGTACTATAAACCCATCAATTTCCCCTTTTTTGATGATGAGAAACTTAGAAATTGACAATCATAGTTAGAGCAACAAAAACTAGATAAAGTAACAGGAACTTCACAAGTTCCCCCTGACTTTGTGCTTCCCCCTTAATCAGTCCCTGTTTTTCTTCTTAGCTCCTTCAATTTTATCTACTTTTCCGATTTTTGGCATCATTAAAAACACACAAACAAGCAAATAGCATAAAGAAGTCTAGCCTAGTTAACTCATGCCACTTATGTGCACACAACATGATAGAAAAGAGAAGCACAAACACATAAGCATTTGCAGCAAAGAAGGAGAGTTTCCATTAAACATATTTGGACTGTTTACACGGGAGCAGTACTAGTGATTTCCATCCACAAACCAAAAAAAAAAACATAACTACCACAACATCATCAAAAGAGAGATAAACTGGACACTAGTCACTGAGAAATATGCCTAGGGGACACTAGAGAAAGAGGGCTTGGAAGAGGCAGCTAGTGTGATGAGAACAAGATCTATCCGAGCATTGGCGGACATCGCTCAACGAGCAGTTTCTCCCTCAGGTTCTCAACCTGTTGCCTGAGGTCAGCATTCTCCTTAGTCAGACGAGCAACCTCTGCATTTGAAAAACTAGAAGACCTTGATGCCTCTTGAGCCTGATTGAGCTGAGTCTCTAATATGGCATTCCTTGCTTTCAACTTTCTGATCTCTTCAGTAGCACTATTTTGAGCATTTATAAGCTGGGAAATCGTTGAAGTGCTTCCTACCCCTCCCATATTTTCGATACACTCACATTCCTCTAGAGTAGTTTTAGAGTTAGTTTGCTTCTTGGTCCCCATCCTAGGCTGTCCCAAAGGCACTTGAAAGAATTTGAAGACACGCGTGAGGAGAAACCCAAAGGGGAGGCCATGATTTCCATCTTTGAATGCTGCCACCTTTTGCATATGCTTAATCATTATGGCTGGTAGATTAACAGTTCGGAACCCATCTAGTGCTTCCATCAGATACAGATCAGACTTGGATGTGATGGACCTCCTCTCAGCGCGAGGAAGCGGGACCTTGTTAACTAACTCAAAAAGGAGCTAATAAATAGGAAGCAAAGCTTTCTTATGCACCCATTCTCCCCCCCCCCCCCCCGTGACCTACGTCG